AGTAGGCTAATTATTTTCGAAAGCAATCCAATGATTCAATAGAAAGCTATTAATAAGATCTAGAGGATTGAGCTCTAATTTGAGATCTGAAGAAGCCTCGCTTCACAGTCTGGATCATTCAGCTTCATGAAGCTAATCTGGTGAAGCTGAGTGCCTCCAATGCTGGTTTGATGCAGCGTTGTTGCTTGGCTGCTCTGGCAACAAAGATGTGTTTAATAGTTTTAGTCTATTTATTTTTAGTCTATTTAGTTATAGTCTATTTATATTGTCTATTTAGTTATAGTCTATTTATTTTTAGTTTATTTAGTTTTAGTATATTTATACAAATATTTTTTTATTGTAACGCAAACGCGAAGAGTCGGTGGAAAGCATACAACAAATTTACTTAGTATGAACGAACAATTCACGAATGACAGATATAAACCTCGGTTCATTGTGACTTGCCCAATGCAGTATGGATTGAACGTGACTTGCTTAACGCGAGCTAGGTTCAATGTGACTTACTTAACGCGAGCTATAGGTTCAATGTGACAGGTTCAACGCAATATGGGTTCAGTGCTTCAGCTTCTTTAATTGATGGCCCAATTGATTGATATGAATAGCTTTGACAACAGTCAATGATAGTAAAAATGTAATCTATAAAGGGTTATTAAAGGCAGGGCAAGGCCGTGACGAATGAACGACGGCGAAATCATGTTATCATTTTATTATTAATTTGCGATTGATAACTGGGATGTTAATTTAGATTAATTTTAAAAGACAATGTGCCAGCCTTGTCTAAAAGATATTCTTGAATAAAATTACGTATTCATGCATGTACATCACAGTCAGTCGCCATTTTTAATCTGAATTTCGGTTAAATTGTGAATTAATATATTAATAATGAATAATCAGTTAAAGCTGTTACGCTCACTCTCAGGATTGTCACTTATAATCATCTGGCTGAAAAATGCGAAGTAAAAATTTTAAAATTAAATTAAAAATTAAAAGTATTTTTTTCTGAAGTGGTTACGGACTTAAATTAACCGAAAAAAATAATATATGAAGAACAAAAAATTAGAAACAATGATGGACAGAAAAGAGTATTTAAAACACGAAATAAAATAAATGCAATTCAAATAGAATAAATGATTCACAATGGTGATATGGAATGCAGAGAGGTTCTCAATATATTACAACATGCCAATCGGAATTCATCTGGCGAGGTGTTTTATGCTCCGTTTAAATCTTGTAAGCAATCCGCACTGGTTTGAGTTATTGCTGCCCGGTTTGCATACGAAAAGCGACGTTGAAAATAGAAATCAGTGAAATAGATAGAAAGTTATAAAAGAAGGGATAGAAAGTTAGATAAAAGATCGGTCGTAGGTTTGCACAAATGGAAAAATGTAAACGAGTGTTTCAAAGACATGTAGGGTAACGTGGGGCAGCGCGCCCCCCACTTTTTTTAAACTAAATTTTTGATGAAGTTTTAATTGATACGAGGTGGTTCTTTGTTTTGTTTAAAGGTGCAACTAATGAGGAATGTATGATGTGAATTAGACGCCTATAGAGTTATTCAATTTTTTATGAAACACTATTTTGTAAAAAGTTACTTAATAACGCAAACATTTAGCAAAACGTAAATCCGTACACTTCATCACAGTGAAACTGTCGACCAGCGGTAGAGAACACGGACCAATATCTGCCATACTTAGCGAGAAACCCGCTATGGGCCCGTGACCCGCAGTGGGCTCGCTGCCCCATGTTACCCTATTATAACTTAAGGATATTATTAGCCCAAAATATATTGTTAGAAGACTGTTTCATATTACATTATATCAATATTATATATATTGTATATATTTGATATATATGCGGGTAATATTTTATTTATATTAGTTTTATTTGACCATACGTCGGCATCTCGCTGATTCTTAACCAGCAGGCCAATTTCGACCAGAATTTTTACATTTGCTGGTTTCAAACCCCCAGCTCGCTGCCCCAATCTATACGGTCTCAATAACTTGCCACCCCGAATCCGTGGCAATTATACAACGTACGTGAAATAATTTCAAATATTTTAAAATTTGTTATTCAAATTCGTATTGCCGACTACAGTTTCCTACTCTGGAATAACTGTTCTAGTTCCTTACTAGTACCGAGACTGAAATAGCCTCAACTTTAACTCAGTTTTTATAACGTCGCAGCCAAAACTTGATTCAAACCAAACAAAACGATTGCTTGAAACAAAGTAACAAAAAAAATATCTGCAAGAAGATGGTAGAAAAAAACTCATTTCATAATATTAACTTTATTATTAACCATATTATTATTAACTGTTAAAAGCAGTCAAGATGTTGCATGGTCTGTAGTACTCCATCAGGAGCCATGGTGCCAGTCTGGAGCAGCAGCTGTGCTCCAAATCTCATGATTTCAAATGATTTCGCTGCCCTGAAACCGGCGCGTCAGTCCAGCAGCATAGCTGCAAACCAGGGACATTTGCCAGGGAATTTGCTAAAGGTGGATGATGGTGGGTGATGGTGGGTGATGGTAGGTGTCGGCAGGTGATGATGGATCTGCAAATGTCGGGTGATGGCGGATGTTCACGTGCAAATGTCGGGCGATGACAGAGGTTCACGTGTAAATGTCGGATAAAGGCGGATGTTCACGTGTAAATGTCGGGTGATGGAGGATGTACACGTGTAAATGTCGGGTGATGGCGGATGGACACGTGTAAATGTCGGGTGATGGCAAATTTTCACGTGCAAATGTCGGGTGATGGCGGATGTACACGTGCAAATGTCGGGAGATGGCGGATGTACACGTGTAAATGTCGGGTGATGGCGGATGTACACGTGTAAATGTCGGGTGATGGCGGATGTACACGTGTAAATGTCGGGTGATGGCAAATTTTCACGTGCAAATGTCGGGTGATGGCGGATGTACACGTGCAAATGTCGGGAGATGGCGGATGTACACGTGTAAATGTCGGGTGATGGCGGATGTACACGTGTAAATGTCGGGTGATGGCGGATGTACACGTGTAAATGTCGGGTGATGGCGGATGTACACGTGTAAATGTCGGGTGATGACGGACCTACACGGATAAATGTCGGGTGATGGCGGATGTTTACTTGTTTATATCGTCGGGTGATGGCGGAAGTTTACGTGTAAATGTCGGGTGATGGCGGATGATAAGGTGTAAATGTGGTGTGATGATGGGTGAATAACGCCAACAAAAATTCGGGGCGCTTTCGGATTTATTCTTTGAGCCACACGAGTGCGTCTGGATTGTTAGGGAGTCGAGAATATCACTTTATTTCACTCCAATAGTTTTTTTTAACTTTGCTGTAAATTAGTATTAACTCAACGTATTTTTTTAGTATAAGAAATTCAATTTAGTAAAATAACTTCTAGAAACTACATTATTCATCAAATGAAGTCTGTATGAACCTTAAATACTCGCATAAATTCTATTAGTAATCAATAAATAAATAAATTCTTCAAGACAGACATGGATAAGTTAGAATAAATCACAATGTATTTATATATAAACATTTATATCTATTTTTCGACCTAATGTGAGACCACAGGGTCATTAGATTCCGCGATAATAACGAAAAAAATATAGAATATTTTAGAAATAACTTTGGTTTCCTATCGGTGACTCGAATTTTTTTTCAATAGATTGGCATACAATTGCAAATCATTCTTTAATGGTTTATATATGCTCACTATCAATTGGGTTTGACTTATTACTTATGAATCGCTTTAAACAGTGTTTGCTGACCTCGGGACAACCAAACACGTGTGAATAAATAAATTGCAGTTCATTAATTATTTCACAAGCATGTCTTGCGATCACAAATCCAAGTAGTCTCTTTATTTATTCAGCAGCTGTTGTGTTACTGATGGATTTTCAATCAGTCAATTAGAAATTAATTCGCAGGGATTAGAAATACAAACGCTGACAACGAGAGTATATTTGTTAATGTCAGGAGGCGCTGAAGGAGTCACGGTAAATATATAGATAAACGCTGTGAATTCAATGTACAAATACACGTGATGAATGAAATGTACAAATACAGGTGATAAATGCAATGTACAAATACAGGTGATGAATGAAATGTACAAATACACGTGATGAATGAAATGTACAAATACAGGTGATGAATGCAATGTACAAATACAGGTGATAAATGCAATGTACAAATACAGGTGATGAATGAAATGTACAAATACACGTGATGAATGAAATGTACAAATACAGGTGATGAATGCAATGTACAAATACAGGTGATGAATGCAATGTACAAATACAGGTGATGAATGCAATGTACAAATACACGTGATGAATTCAATGTTACAAATACGCGTGATGAATGCAATGTACAAATACACGTGATGAATGCAATTTACAGATACAAGTAGTGGAAATTATTGATATATACACGTTGTACATACACTTTATAGAAATACACGTTTTGATCGTGTCTAAACATGCGGCAATTAAATCATCGCATGATAAATATTTGAAGTATTTTATGCATAAAAATTAGATTTATTCAACGTCAACCGTAAAAAAAGTTTTCTGTCCAAACACCGGGCCACAGAAAATTCGAAAATGTGTTCATTTTTTATGCTAATTTTTTCAATTACTTTAATTGTATAGCAATTCTCAACATTTATATCAACAAGCAGAACTATATTAGATAATATAACATTCTCATAAATTCTCAGCGTCATTAATATCGAAAATACCTATTATATTGTTATTATTTGCAAAGGACAGTATCCATTCATTTCCATATTAATGAATCTAAGACCAACACTTTCAAAGGGATGGAATGATTATGAAAACTAAACTAATTACATTCACGGCAATGGATGAACGTGCAAAATTAAGCCAGACAATTCACTCTCTGCATTTGAAATTGAATAAAAAATATATTAAATCCTGAATTTTGTTTTCCCGCATGAATTTTCTTTTGTTTATTCTGCCCGATGCTTATTAACAAATTTATTATATTTTAATTGAAATTTTTAATTATTTGAACATGCTTATTGCAAAAAAGATAAACTGTTTCCTGGCTTCTTGCGATACACAACTCGCCTATTATTCTGATTAACTATGGATGCATAAAATATTTCTTAAATAGGCTGAACATTTCTGACTTAGGGATATTGGTAAGTCAAAATTTATCATCTTTTTTTAAGTTTCCTAAACTTTGCTAAATTTTTGAGCCAGCTTTAGGCGCGAATTCGTTGACAGCAAATGTTAAGTTCTCGCCGTGAAATATTGCTGGATTGTAATGGATAAAATTCTGAAAAGTTTTATGAGAAAATTTATTGATGCATAAAACGACATTCATGGAAAGTGGTAAGCCAAGTTTCACTGGAATAAGTTGAAATAATAGCTATAAAAATTTGAATGTACAAATGTCTATTACATTGTATCACTCATAAATCTTCAAAACTTTAGGGCAATTTTCTAACTTTTAAAGCTGACTGGAAGCGATGCAAAAGTTCGGCTCCAGGAATCCGTTCTACCGGCACCTCGCCTCTCTTCTCATGATAAAATCAAACACGAAAAACGTTGTAAAATTTGAATTTGTTCGCGTTCCGTACCGAATTTTGATAAACTGTAGAACATTTTCACCTCCAATTAAGTTGCAGGCACAACACAAGATATCAATCAAAGCCTTCACATTTTCGTTTGGACAATTTATGCCATCGCTGTCAATTTTCTTCGTGCGTTCGGGAGGATCGTCACTGCATATATCAGGTGGCAAACGTTCATGAGATGCGAATTTATTGCGAGAAAATAGCGCTCGCTTCTTCTCCGTCGCCTCGACGCGCTCGCATCGGAATAGTCGATCGTGTGTTCGCCACGCAAGCAGATGGCCAAGTGCAAAATAAGCGTACATGTCACATCGCCGGAATAGTCGATCGAGTGTTCGCCACACAAGCAGATGGCCAAGTGCAAAATGCCGGAATAGTCGATCGAGTGTTCGCCACGCAAGCAAATGGCCAAGTGCAAAATAAGCGTACATGTCACATTGCCGGAATAGTCGATCGAGTGTTCGCCACGCAAGCAGATAGCCAAGTGCAAAATAAGCGTACATGTCATACAGCAAATTGGTGTCGTTATTTAGCCCTGTCGATGTGACGCGGTCGTGTGGATGGCGGTTGCGTCGCCAGAAGGATTTTCCCAGCATTTCCCAATTTCGCCGGCTCTTTGCACCGCTCAATAGCTCGTCGTGGGAATCATCTTTAGGGTGTAATTTTTTAATGCATTTGAAACGAAGTCGTAGTCGAAACGAAGGAACTTGAGTTGAGGATGGCATGCACTCGATTGTTGCCACGTCGGAATTTCCAGCATAGAATATGGACGATGAGTATTTTCCTTGTTTGAAGTACCATAAAGAATTTAGAGATGATTTCGCTACATCTCGATACTTTTTCTTATTTGCTTGACTGTTATTGCTCCCAGTCCCACAAGTGTTGGTTATTCCGTGCTGGCGCTGAGGGAGTGTTTGTTCATGCTTGTGTTTGTGCTGATGGTCTAGGCGAGTGAATAATAACATATGGATACAGAGGGCGCTTAGGGAGGCTTCAGCAGCCAGCAGCGAAGGTCGAAATCCATGGCTGCCGTTCTGGTGGTGGATTGCAGCCAACTCTTCGCCTGAAAAAGAGTCAAACAAAAATATAGGAGGCTTTTTTCAAGTTTTTTGTTATGTGATAAGTAAATTTGGGAATGAAATGACGAAACTGATTTATTTCCTAAAAAATTTAGATTACCAACATGCAAATAAGTACAAAATTTTGCAGATAACAGAAGACCCTCCGAAGTAAAAAGGGACAATGTTATTACAATAACATTTCACTTTAAATCTTCAATATGAAAAATATCATATTCCTGGAAAATTCCAGCGGAAAAATTCCGTTCCTGCGTCAATAAAAGATAATAGGAATTTGTTCATTTTATTTTAACCCTTTTCTGATTAAAAAAATCAACTATCTGTCAATCGCAATTCAGTAGATAATGATGACACAATCCCGACATAAAATCTTTTATCTTCACATAAACCTTTCTAATTGTTAACACGATATTGTTATTGTAATAAAGAGTTAAACTTCTCTATAAAGCGAACCTTAAAAGTAGGCGGAAACAGTGGAGTTTTTTTTACGTGAATTAATTCAGTTTCAATTTAATTATTTACGACATTAGACACTTAGGAGCGATGAGCCCTGGTCGCTCACGCAATACGCCTAAGCCCTGATAAATACGCCTAAGCGTATTTAAGCAAAAGCAATACGCCTAAGCCCGCCGTAAATCAATACGCACGACAAATATCATGAATTGCGCGTGTGAACTTTGAAGCGCATCGCGGATCATGAGCAAACAATGCTGTTTATCATAGTCGCGCATTGTATTGTTCATCGTCGCGCATGAATGATTGTCTCGATAAGTTGACATGGCGCCGCTCTTGATACGAACAAATGGAAGGATCAAGGATGGTCCTTCTAACTCCAGGGGAGACCAGTGAATGTGTTCTAGTATGATAGAAATTTTTAATTTAATAGTAGAAAAAGTGGAATCAAATTTGAAATAAAGCAGGTAATTATAAGTTACTCGTTTGATTTGCATGAATGTATGGCAAATTACAGTTCAGAGCACTGCAAAAAATTTTTGGTTAAAACTTTTTAAAAATAAATGTGAATCGCATTATAAGTAGAGGTAATAATATGTGTTTAAAATTACTTTTTAAAGACAACAATTCTAATTGGGCAAGTGTCTCCGATATTGAATGAATGAATTTCTTATTTATTTTTAAATATTAAAAAAATATATTTTTTTTATTAATATATGAATTTTTTTTTAACTTTTAAAATTATTTATTCTATCAATTGATTCAAGCATTGTCTCCAACTTTACGCAAGTGTGCAAAATTTCAGATCGATTCGACAGGTAGAAGTCTGTAAATGTCGATAATAAGATTTGTAGCAGACAAACAAACAACAGGAAGTGAAGTTAAAGAGAAGTGTTGTAAAAAATTAGAAAATTGTTGTAGGAAACCATGGCTCAATAGAAACAAGTCTTTTTAGTCTCAGTTTGAACTATAGTACAGTACAAACAATGGGCCATTGACTCAAGTCAATATACTTGTAAAATCTGATTTCTTATTCAAATAGTAACAAATATTGTTGGTTATTCCTAAAAATTTTAAATTTTTCAACCAACTAAAGTTTCAAATGCTGCTACATCTATAAACTCATGACTCTAAAAGTTCAGACAGAGCTTGTAATAAATAATATGCGTTTAAAAATTGCTTTTTAAAGGAAACTCTTTTAAAGGATCCGATGTCTCCGATGTTACACATGTACAATGAATTTCCAATTTTATTTCCAAACATAAAATTTTTTTATGTATGAAAAAAATTTAAAATTTCAAAATTATTTATTCTGCCAATTTATTCATGTATTGTCTCCGACTTTACGCAAGTGTGCAAAATTTCAGATCGATTGGACAGGTAAAAGTGTGTTAAATATCGATTATAAGATTGTAGCAGACAGTGATTTACGGTGAGGATAATTATGTGACATAACTCATGAATTCAATTCTGAATCGAAACATGAATTTAATTTTTCATGCATGATTTTTCGAAACATGCAAGTGCTTTGGACCCGTCAGTCATCCAACACATCTACTGAACCACCAACCACAGCAGCCTTTTTATACAGAAATTCATTTTCTTTCTATGATAAAATAGTCAAAGCATCAAACAATATTAAATATAATAGTTTTTAAGAAATATAACTACCTCAGCGCACGTATCTCGTACCTCTGAGCACGTGTACGGTGACGTTTACTGGTGGAGTGCACGTGGAAGTGCACGTGTAGGTGCCGGAGTGCAAGGGCGTGACGTCTTTCCTCGTCAGCGTCACGACGGTGCTTAAAGGCTCGTCGGATTTAAAGGATCTGTCATCAGAACCAACGACCTCCTCGGCGTTCAGTGAAGAGTTCTTGAGCTCGTGGCTGGAGTTCTGGGCATTAATGGCGCGTAGGTCTTCCTCCAGCAGGAGTTCTCGTGTCTCGGTATGCAGGATAGGACGTCCCATGTGTGTCCATGTGGGTACAGGGTACAGGCAGCCCCGTACGTGGCACTCGAGGTGGAGGGCGCTGCCCTCCTGCACGTGCACCTCGCGGCCTGGCAAGATGTGCACCTCCGCCTCTGTTTGGTGGAAATTTGGTTGATAAGTGAGGGGTGGAGGGAATGAAATTTACATGCAACGCACGAACAATAATATATATATTTCTATATATTATAATGTATATAAATTAAATGCGTTGAAAGAGGGGGTAAAATTTATGAAATTTAAATTTAAATATTTTTTAATCATATATACTAAATCCTCCGATTTGCACCTGAAACAAAACAGAAATAATCAACCACTCTATGATATTATGAGGTAGTAGGAAGCTCCTAAATCTTGTCAAGTATGTGAAAATAAATCAGTGGATAATTTACACAGAATTTAATGCATTGACAATTTTCTTATTGTTTTTTTCACTATATCGAATAATATTTTTCGTCGGCGTGGGTAGATTTCTTGATTTCTTTCTTTCTTGATTTCAAGTATCAGGAAAAAATTTCTTGATTTCTAGCTATGTGATTATTGCTCACTTCGATTTGACATTAAATTTTAACTACTCTTCGTTGGATATTAAAAAGACTTATAGGTACAGAATCAGGTCGCATGTATTTTATCACTAAGATATTTAATATTCAAAGTGTCTAGGTAGCATGAAGTGTTCAAATGGCTATTTGAGCACTTAAAATAAATAAATAACTGTATTAATTAAGTAATTTCGCCAAGCTCTTTATTAGAATAGCGTTCATAATGAATGATAATGACTGAGATTAACTGGAATCAGACGATTAGGCACCTCTCAGCAGTTGCCGATTCGCTATATTAATTCTGCATCTCTAACTGCATTCGATATTAATTAACAAATCTTCCGTCATTAGATCAATTAAACCTTAATTACTGAGCAGTAATTATGAAGTTTAGCAGACCAGGGCCTATATACCCTTAATTCATTGTCCTATTACTTATCAATATTATTATAGTTGAAGATCCACCAGTTTCATAAGCCTGGACTTTTCTTATATTCCAGCAAAAGTTACAAATCCTTAGAATTTGAAACGTGTGCAATATTTTTTGACATCCCCTTTCATAAAATCCAGTTTGTTTTCTTGATGGAAAAACTAAAGAATATTTCCACAGTATTATTCCCGTCGGAGATATGATAGCATATTGTCGCAATCTATTCTGTCATACACAATCTCTGAGCGGCGGCTTCAATTTAAAGGGAAAACCTGTTGCGCTTTTCGTGTTACGCATACACAGCTTCCTCAAGCTGGGACAGACGCTGGGAAAGATACTGGGACAAAGGCTGAAACAGGCGCTGGGACAGACGTTGGGTAAAGGGCTGGGAATGCTGGGAGAGACGCTGGGAAATATACTGATACAGATGCTGGGACAGACGCTGGGACAGACGCTGGAACAGACGCTGGGACAGACGTTGGAACAGATAGGATAGGACGTCCCATGTGTGTCCATGTGGGTACAGGGTACAGGCAGCCCCGTACGTGGCACTCGAGGTGGAGGGCGCTGCCCTCCTGCACGTGCACCTCGCGGCCTGGCAAGATGTGTACCTCCGCCTCTGATTGGTGGAAATTTCGTTGAAAATTGAGGGGTGGAGAAAATGAATTGTACATGGAAAACGCGAAGATTAATGTATAAAAAAATATATATGTATATATATAGTTACTTGATATTACTCCCTTGAACCTGCATTTTGATCAACTAATATCATCTGAAAAATATTGTTCGCTGAAAATTTAAATTGACGAATTCTCTGGCCATTAACCACCCCTGTTTAAAATCTATATATATTCTATATTTTACAATATATAAAATTAAATGCGTTGAAAGAGGGGGTCAAATTAAACAAATTATATTTAAAAATGTTTTCAATCACTTATACTAAATCTTTCGATCCGCACCAGAAGAAATAAATGAATTATTAACCAATCTGTGATATTATCAGGTAGTAGGAAGCTCCTAAATTTTGTCAGGCATGAAAAAATGAATCACGGGATAATTTACTAATTAATTTTATATTAATAGGTAATACTAATTACTTAGTATAGGATGGCAGAATTTTTTCTTTCAAACAGGTTGGTTGAATACCAGAAAATTTATTGTATTTACAATTTTATTACTAGCTTTTTCAATATGTCGAATGATATTTTTCGTCGCCGTGGATAAATAAAAAATTTCTCGATTTCTAGCTAGGTGATTATTGCTCATTTCGATTCGACTTTAAATTTTAACTGCTCTTCGTTGGATATTAAATCAGGCGGCCTGTATTCTATCATTAAGATATCCAATATTCTTAGCGTCAGGAGAGCATGGAGTGTTCAAATGGCCATTTGAGCACTTCAAATAAATAAATAACTGCATTAATTAAGCAATTACAAGAGCATTCATTATAACTTATAATGACTGAGATTAACTGGAATCAGACGAGCAGATCGCCGATCGTGCATCTCTCAGCAGTAGTCGATTCGCTAGATTAATTCTGCATCTCTAACTGCATTCGATATTAATTAACAAGCCTTCGAGCGTTCAATCAATTAAACCTTAATTAATGAACAGTTATTATGAAGTTTAGCAGACCAGGGCCTATATACCCTTAATTCATTGTTCTATTGCTTATTAATATTATTATAGTTGACGATCCGCCTGCCTCAAAGCCTGTATTTTTCATATACAGTATTCAAGCCAAAGTTACAAATCTTTAGAACTGGAAACTTGGGCTATATTTCTTGACAGCTCATTTCATTAAATCCAGTATTATTTTCTCGATAGAAAACTGAAGAACATTTTACTGTATATTATCACCTTCGTAGATAAGATAAGCTCATTTGTGCAATCAATTCTGTCGTACACAATCTGTGAGCGGCGACGTCAATTTAAAGGGAAAACCTGTTGCGCTTTTCGTGCGTACACAGCTTCCTCAAGCTGGGACGGACGCTGGGAAAGATACTGGGACAGACGCTGGGACAGACGCTTGGACAGACGCTGGGACAGACGCTGTGAAAAATACTGGGACAGACGCTGGGACTGACGCTGGGACAGACGCTGGGACAGACGCTGGGAAAAATACTGGGACAGACGTTGGGACAGACGCTGGGACGTACGCTGGGACGTACGCTGGGAAAGATACTGGGAAAGATACTGGGACAGGCGCTGGGACAAACACTGGGACAAACACTGGGATAGACTTTGGGACAAACGCTTGGACGTTCGATGGCTACGACCATTAGAGGGCAGGTTGTGGAAGTGAAGTTTGTTGTTGGTGACTTGTTCCTTAATCTTTATTGCTTGGTTCTTTCGTGCACTTCATGAACGTGCAATTGAAAGTTTATAATGCTGTGCTGTGTTTTTTCCTTTCCTTTTCGAAATGTATGGAAATAATTATATAATAATACATAACGCCTTCTATACCGACGCCGGTAGCGCTGATTCTAAGTTACAACTGTAATTTTGAAATCACCGAATTTCCTGCTAACCAAAATACTAAATCTGAACCACTACACAATGTTATCGAGGAATCATAAAATAAAGTTTGTTCACACCTGATTTATCGTTTTTTGTTCATGGACAATTCAAATTTATTCCTTTCTAAAAATTTCGTCCATAAGTAGATCCGCAATGTTTATTGAGAAGCTATTTATTTTATTCCCATTAGTGTACGACTAGATTTTTGAAAGAGTTCGATTGACTTTGGCAAAAAAATCCAGGAAAAAATGAGTTTCGATATTTATTTTCAACTTGTGATTTCCTAACATTTTTTCTTGCGCAAGCTTTTATTTTCGGTGAACGACTTGTGTCTTTGCATTTACTGGCCAGTGAATTTATTGGCCTCGAGGTCTCATGGGTGATCCAAGCGCCTTTCAAACGCGGGCCCAAAATATAAACGCGGGGCCAAATGTTTTGGTATACCTGCAAATAAACGCGGACTCAAAGCCGTTCTGAATTGAGAGGAATGTTTCTGCCTGGTAGCTACCGCCTACGTAATCTTGTTACTGAGGTCTGGACCTGGGCGCCCATACTTTCAAAAAAGTTAAGAGATCGTAAGTTCATCAGCCAATCATTGACGGCCTTTCAAGTAAAATCCACCAATCATAGACAAGAAAATAGAGCGTAAGTACTTATGTCCACTTAGCGAGTTTTGAAAGTATGGCACCGGCCCGATAAATGAACATTTCCTTCGTAAAATGAAAAATAGGCAATGAAAGGGCTCGGACTCGTGAAGAAATTGAATGAATTTAATAAATTAAATTGTGACTCTGAAATCAAAGTTAGAAACGCATAATGATAGTTTCGTGATTTTTTAGCGGTTTTATTAGATTGTTGATTTGAAGACGGAATATATCTTGCGAACTTGAAAATAAAATCACAAGTTATTAAAACGGCCATTGCCTCTCTCACCATTAACATGCCCTCCTCACCATTGACATGCCCTTCTCACCATTAAAATTCCCCTCTCACCATTGACATGCCCTTCTCACCATTGACAAGCCCTTTTCACCATTGACATGCCCCTCTCACCATTAACGTGCCCTTCTCACCATTAACGTGCCCCTCTCACCATTAACATGCCCCTCTCACCATTAACATACCCCTCTCACCATTAACATGCCCCCCTCACCATTAACATACCCCTCTCACTATTGACATGCCCCTCTCACCATTAACATACCCCTCTCACCATTAACATGCCCCCTCTCCATTAACATGCCTCTCTCACCATTAACATGCCCCTGCTCCATTGACATGCCCTTCTCACCATTGACATGCCCCTCTCACCATTGATATGCCCCTCTCACCATGAACATGCCCCTCTCACCATTAACATGCCCCTCTCACCATTAACATGCCCCTCTCACCACTAGCATGCCCCTCTCACCATTTTTGGTATGCCTGCAAATAAACGCGGGCCCAAAATATAAACGCGGGCCCTAATGTGTTTGTATGCCTGCAAATAAATGCGGGCCCAAAACCGTTCTGAATTGAAAGGAATGTTTCTGCCTGGTAGCTTCCGCCTACGTAATCTTGTTACTGAGGTCCTGACTAGCCCGATACATGGACATTTCCTTCGTAAAATGAAAGAGAGGCATTGAAAGGGCGCTGACTCGTGACGAAATTGAATGAATTTAATAAATTAAATTGTGACTGTGAATTCAGAGTTAGAGACACATGATCATAGTTACGTGATTTTTTGAGCTGTTTTGTTAGATTGTTGATTTGAAGGCAGATTATATCTTGCGAACTTGAAAACAATATCATAAGTTATTATAACGGCATTGCCTCTCTCACTATTGACTTGCCCTTCTCACCATTAACATGCCCTTCTCACCATTTACATGCCCCTCTCACCATTAACATGCCCTTCTCACCATTAACATGCCACTCTCACCATTAACATGCAGTTGCATCGTCTTCGTGATGGGTGGTGACAGGGACACCTGGCAGAGGTAGGATCCCTCATCCTGCTTCCTGGAGTAGTGGATCTTGAGGAGCCAGTCCTGTCCCCTCGCAGGATTCGAAGGGACAAAGCGCTTGTCCGACGTGTAGGTGATGAGACCTGTCGTCAGGAGCCTGATGTCTCTGCCGCGGACCCATGATACCTGACGGTGGGATGAAGAGAAAGGGGTTAATGTCATGTGTTGAAGAGGTTGTAGATGCCATTGGGGAATGAGGGTATAGATAATGTTGAAGAGGAAATAAAGTTGGAAGTAATGTAGAACTGTCCAGTGATATAAAAATATGATACCCATGATAGCAGGGACAAAGAGAAAAGGGTTAATGTCATTGTGTTGAAGAGGTAGTGGATGTCGTTGGGGAAGAAGGGTATGGATAATAATGAAGAGGAACGAAAGGTCGAATTAATGTTATAGAAATGCACCATTTATAGAAAATATGAGACCAATGATACCTGACGGTGGGACGAAGAGAAAAGGATGGTTAATGTCATTGTGTTGAAGAGGTAGTGGATGTCGTTGGGGAATGAAGAGTATGTAGATAATGTTGAAGTGGAACGAAAGGTACAAATAATGTAGAGATGTCCCCATGATATAAAAAATATGATACACATGATAGCAAACGAAGGGAGCAAGGTGTGTATATAATGTAATTCTGTTGAAAAGGTAGGTGACGCCGTTGGGGAGAAGGTATATATAATGTTAAAGAGGAACGAAAGGTAGAAGTAATGTAGAAATATCCCCATGATATAAAAAATATGATAGAGAAGTACCATGATACCTGACGGAGGGAGAAAGGGGTATATATTATGTCATTATGTTGGAGAAGTTATAGATGCCGTTGGGAGTATAGCTGATTTAAGATAATATATGATAAAAATATAGATAGATAAGGTACAATCTTTTCTATGTAAATTAAATAATTCTGAAGATAAATACTGATAAGAAGATACATATATAAAATAAATATATAAAAGTAATTAGAGACGACAGTGACATACAATGCCATTGATATTATGAAGGTATATTGTTCGTTTCGAATAATACTATTAGAAAGAGAAGGGATTAGTTTCGTAGAAGAGTGTTTAGGTGTCAATGAGAGGTGAGACAGAGATGAGGAGAGAGGAAATGTGTATTGCAGTGTATGTGTAACAAACAGACATCCAAGAAAAAATGGAAAAAATGTCAAAAAGCTGTAGTTGATAAGTTCATTAATTGTAGTGTGAATAAAAAATTGAATTGTTCAAATGAAAACTTACCCCACAGCTTTATCCCAAATAAAAATTAATTACATTCAAAACTCGTAAAGAATTTACTATCTTTATTTTCTTAATTAATTTAAAGAGGCAAAAACTCGTGAGCCATGATTATTAGCGTGCGAGCTACAACAAATTTCAATTTTCCACGAATTTTTCAATTTAAATTCCCATATCTTTTTACACGCGAAGAAAACCATCATACAAAGACTCTTGTTAGGAAAAGTATGCGAGTATGTCTCGTTTCACCGGCTATCTCACTCGTTTCGTGTCCCATTTTGCACGGCATTTTATTCCCCAAAACAAAAAGACGCAATTTTCAGTCTCTCGCAAATCCCTTCAGATCCTCACTGCCGTGCGCATATCAGCGCCGCGAAGCTCACGGCGCATGCGCGGCTAGAGCTCAATGTCGTTCTGATTTTACAAATGAAAATAATACAATAGTTATAATCTTCTTATTATTTAAAAGTTCTGAATTATATGGAATTATATTAGAAAATTGTGCTATGAATAATGAAAGTTGGATTGATTCTTACACAAAAAGAAATAGGTTTTGACATCAGCACTTAAGCCCGCAGAGTAAGTTTTAATTATTTATACGTTAGAAAATTCATTCTGCGGTATGGTTCATGAGTAAGTTTAAAGCAATAATACGTTAGATAATGCATGCTGCGGTATGGTTCATGAGTAAGTTTAAAACAATAATACGTAAGATAATTCATGCTAAGGAATGGTTCACTCACAGTATAGTTGTGAAGGTTGCGTATGGTGCAGGTGAGTATGGCTGTGGTGCCCGCCACGGCGTAAAAGTCTTCCTTGGAGTCCGCTACGAAGCTGGGGCCACTTAGACTGGAGTACTGGATAGGAGGCGCTCCAAGGAGTCCTGGGAACTCCCTGGCACCTAAATCTCCAGCACTCATATCCTCTGAAGCTCTGAAGGGATCTCGCTGATATGGATAAGGATAACGGTCGAATGTGCTCGAAGATACCGGGTAAGGGTATGAGTTGTTTAGCAGTGCGTGCAATCTTTCTTCAGATTGTCCGGAAGATCCTGAGTAGGCCTGGAAAGAGTTGTCTTCAGGAAATGGACTTGGATATTTGATGTAGGGCTTTAAAAGCTTGTAGTGTAGTCGAGAGATGGGCTGGGATCTCAAGCCCTGAGGCAGGAAGGAAGCTTGCGCTGAGCGCTGAAATTTTCCGTCGTCGGACATTGCCACGGGTGGTCGACGTCGGTCTTGAAGATTGTCTTTCGTTCCATTGGAGTCAGTCCTGTCACTTATTGAGGATACCGGAGCCAATTTTACTAGAGTTTTTGCTTGAACTGCTTTATTGTCTTCCGTTGAAATCATATTTTTGTTAGATTTTATGAAGGAGTTAGTGACAATCGTCGTTTCTTTGCTCGACGGCTCTAATGCAGGTCGGATGTGGTGCGCGTGTCGCGCTGTAGGCTGCCCCGCGGACGCCGCTGCGGGATGGAAGAGTGCGAAATTTATGATAATCTTTATTTATGAAGTTTAAGCGAAGTTTATGATAATCTATTGTAGAGGTCAATATATTCCTCAAAAATAATGAGGATAGTAATTTTTTCAACATTAGTGATTGAAAATTTCGAAGTGATTCCAAGTTGAAATAACGTTGCTGAAACGTTTTTTCTAGCAGGATCATAGCTAAATCAACGTTGGTTTAACGTCATTTTCAAGAAGAAAAATAGGTTTACCGTAATTCTTCTTTTGCAATGAAAAATATTGGCTGAATATTACGAAATTTATATGTAGAATAATTAAAGTAAGATTCAAGCCAAGTAGTTATTGCGTCGCCATTATAGATGACATATAAGATCACAATCGTATCTTCTCAAAGCTCAATAATAAAAACTTAACTCCAAATTAAGTGGGTTAACACGCTGGAATAGTGCTTTTGGTTAACTTGGATTGGATGAACTAATATTACATATAATAATTTCTAGCTTTTCCGCTACTGCCACAGCGAAAAAAAAACACTGTTCTGCCAATCCTTCAATTAGAAATTTATACCGTTTAATTAATTATTTTTCCATTTTGTTTTCTTTTAATTGGCACGTGAATATGATTATTATGAGACTAGGATATCCTAATTATGACCGGTCACATATTCGGAAAAACTGGTCGATAAAAATTCAACACAGACATTTTCTCTCGGGATTTGTGATACAAAATAGACAGCCGCTCTAGGGGAGAGCTAGGCTCGCTGTCCCCGCATGGGGATGTAGCCTGTATAATATTCATGAGACCCACGCTGTATCATGGATACATTGGACAGACGGTGGACAGATGAGTGTGATACATGGTTAAATAAATGAAACTTTAATAACCTTTGCTTGGAGATAATGTCTTAATTTTCCTTAAATAATGGATAATCTTGAATTATTGACTTGGCTGGACGAGAAATTCGACTTGGCCTGACGAAACAAGAAATAACTTCTTGATTTCATATTAATAATAAATAGAGAACATGTTTTAATGAATTCATAACGTGCATGATGACAAATTAATGTATTTAAATCAAGCACTGCAAATCGATACATTTCCTGAAATTTTTAATTAAATAAATAACATTTTTGCATATTTATTTGTATAAGAAACGTAATAAAGTTACTCAATCAACCCGCTTGATTAATTTAGACTATCAGCTCGAATTTCGGACCAAAATGTAAAATCTTTCAAATGTCATTGCGAAAAAGCCAGATGCAATGTTTTGAACTCAAGTAACACATTGATGCTGAGAGTGAAATCCTTGTTATTTGCAACATTCATACGTTTGTGTAATTAATATTAAGAACATGAAGAATGTGTATTTACACACATTATGACACATAAGAGATATTATTGTAATTTATCATGGCATAAGTCCAATGTCAATGCGGTGCTCGCAACAGCATTGATTCAGTCACCACTGACCGTGTGACGAAGACCTTCGACTTACCTGCTATACGCGTACAGAACAGCAGCGCCACAGTCAAGGTAGCGGCGACCGCTGCGGTTACTGAAGTCATCTCCAGCAAATTGACTTGTCCGTGGCTTCAATTGAACATTGAGTAAAAAAACTTGAAAAAGATTCACCTTGATTTGAAATATTGATATTTAAAGATATATATACGTGCTAAAAACTCAGTACAGAAAGTTATTTTCACCAGTCGACTTCGACGATTCTCACCAGTTTTTAAAGTTTATCAACTTTTTTTAGTGATCTGAAAAAAATACGAAAGGGGATTCTAAAATGTATCAGTGTTAATATAGAAGAAAACAAACAAACAACGAAAAAGTCTCATGAGCGGACTTGTAAACATGTTGAGTGATTATTGAAGTCTATGAATTAAATCATTTATATTTATTGCAATTTGAAATAATAAATAGTCCTTCGTACAAAATTATCCGAAGAAAACGTATTTATTATTGCTTTTTGATAATCCATGTTCATAATAATTGTATGTTTAGGTACTCTCATACTCATACTTTGCCCTCATATCGATATGGCATCTTCAGTTCTCATTCCTCATGTCTCATTCTCATATATCATTCCTCAAATAGACACGTCTCGTCTTCATATCTCATTCCTCATATTGACATGTCTCGTCTTCATATCTCATTCCTCACATTGACACGTCTCATCCTCATATCTCATTCCTCATATTGACATGTCTCGTCTTCATATCTCATTCCTCATATTGATATGTCTCATCTTCATATCTCATTCCTCATATAGACATGTCTCGTCTTCATATCTCATCCTCGTATTGACATGTCCAATCCTCATATCTCATTCCTCATATAGACATGTCTCATCTTCATATCTCATTCCTCATATTGATATGTCTCATCTTCATATCTCATTCCTCATATCGACATCTTTCCTCATATCTCATTCCTCATATTGATATGAAATGAGAATAGCTCATTCTTCATCTTACATTTTTTTGGAACGCTTCGTCTGTTCATGTCAATGCTAATTATAAGTACTAATTAAATATTACTCAGGACATGTACGTTTTATGTTACCAAATTATCTAATTCATCAAAATAATTCAGAGCAGTTGTACTTAATCATATCATTTATACATATACTAGGGTTGCTTACCTCCAGAATATACAAAACGTTGAATAAAATGAACAATCTCTGATCGCAGCTGAAATGCCGTCAATTTAATTGGATTAGATCCCGGTAATATGCTAATTACCATATTAATCTGCCAATTTAAACACAGCTTCTGGAAAATTACCTGTTAGGTGATTCTCAGCTATCATGCAATCATTTACAGTTTACCATTCGGATAAATCACCGCGAAACCATTATTAACATCATATTCACCCCTCATTGTCTCCCTCATATTCCCCTTTATATTATCCCCAACTTTTTTGCTCATATATTCTCCCTCACGTTCTTCCCCACATTCTCCTTCAGAGCCTCGCGTGGGCTGAGGAAGAGGAACCTTGCTCCTAATCAAAGATAAGAAGGAACAACTTTGCTCTGTAATCAATTCCATCTCTCTTGTTCTTCTCCAGCCACTAAATTAGAACATTTGAATGGCCGTTAAAACAATACACTCATGTGTATTTGTGTTTGCTTTATTATCTAAGACAACGCAGTGCCATTATATTTCTAATTGAGTCATTAATTCTAGTATTACAAATCACTTACCTAGTCATGGATGAAGTAATAAAAGATTTTGGGTTCGAGAAAAATCGAATTAGTAAATATATTCCTCGTGAGGTCAGGCAAAAAGGACGGGCTTAACGCTTCTGAGCTGATTTTCGATCAGGAAAATTCCCATTCAAAATCTGAAGTTTTGAACTGAGGAACGAATTTTTAATTAAATAATTCCTTATACATATAAGTGTCAATTGATAATTAGATAAAACTGAACCGCAAATAATGAAGCAACAATTATTTTCCGGCAAGGATAGAGTAATCATGCAATGCAGAATTCAATAACAATAATAATGCAAATAATGTTAGTAATAATTATAATAATAAAAATATAAATTATAGGAATAAATATATTATTGATTTGATTAGTTTCTTTTTTATGTCAATTTGAAAGAAAATTTTACGTAAATTATAATAAAGCCCTTGCCTCATCGCTGTATCGTGACCCCTCCAAATAAAAGTCTTAAATAGAAGATTGGTCAATTTCAAAATCCAATTAAATTTTTTTATCCAGTCCTCTCTTTGTTTTCTTCAATCCTTTCCCATCTTCCCACTAATATGAAAGGCTTCAAAAACATACAAAAACATGACAGAATGGCAGGCGATCCAGACGTTACTTTGGCAAGATAATCCTAGTAATTTAAGAACCAATTGACCAAATAGCCTTCTCGGCTATAATTGCAGTTCTTAACCTAGAGCCGGCCGATTAAAAATAGGCCTGGTCAAACTCGCATTTATCAAATAATCCCATTATACCCCAGTAATTACATTTGAACTAAATTTCAATTTACACCTTTATACAGGTCAGCATTAGAAATTTTAAGAATTGGACATGGATAAAATATTTCTTCACATTTCAACGTTAGTTGAGCGATGCCTACGGATTCTACCACTGAAAATAAATTCAGGATCCGATTAATATCTCGTTATTATATTGTATATCCTATTGTATATATTTACAGGTTAAGGCTTCAGTGACACACACATCGTAGAAATATAGTGTACAAGCTGCTAAACCAAGCATTCGCAATAATATATGATTATATATATATTAAAATTTATTCCGATTTTCTATATCCGGAATTCTCTCAACCAGAATCCCGTCACCCGAAATTCCGTCATCCGATTAATAAAGCTTTATAGCTCCAATAAGTTGATTAAAGTGAAAGCCTTACATACCCACATTTAACGTTGAACACCAGTTCATCTATTGGAATGAAATAAGGAAAAACATTAATTTCTCGTTTATGATAAAATTTGCATTTATGAATTTTTAAAATGCCTCCGATTTGAGGATTCCGCGAGAAAGAATTCATTCGATTATTTTCAAACTTGAATATTGGCCATTAAAAAAACTTAAATTAAAAAAAGTTTAACATTGAACTCCTCTTACACTCTTGTTCAGTGACATGCGAACAAGTTATCCATGTTTTTCGTTTAAATTTACACGTTCCAATTTGCAGGAAAATTTCATTTGTTGAGCCTCCCCCCAGCCCGACCAGCCCCTATATTTATAACAAACAAACAA